TTTTTTGGTATTTTTAGTAGAGACAGGGTTTCACCATGTTGGCCAGGCTGGTCTCGAACTCCTGGCCTTGTTATCCACCCACCTCCGCCTCCCGAAGTGCTGGGATTACAGGCATAAGCCACCCTGCCCATCCAGTTTTCCATTTTTATTTTTAATGGTCAAATTAGATAACTGTAAAAACTATAATACTGAACCTAGAGATATAGAGGAAGTAAAATTATGGAGCTGCTGTGATCAGTGTAGAGGGAAGTTCTTTATCCCTGGGTTTCACTTTTACCTCTCAAGGCCTTTTATGGAACCCTGGGAGAATATATCATGAAAAAATCGCTGACCCAGAAAAAGGCTTTACCAAAATGGGACAGTGAGCCAGAGAATGGAATAATGCGGCATCTCATATCACCTTTAATTCCCTCAGGACTATCATGTCAGGCTAACACTATTGACAAAGACACCAGAGGCATCCAGACTAAGAGGAAATTAAACCAAAGAGAAAGAGTCTAATCAGGTTGCCAGGTTCAGGTGCTGTTTACTTTCAGGTAGGCATTCTGATAAGTCCAGGAGAAACTGTGCTGCACTCACACTGATCTGAACTCTGTGCTCCCACCCCCAATTCAGTTCCCTGTCTTCCCCTGCTAAGCACTGTGGAAGCCTCTTGGACACAATTATTTTAACTGCAGAGAAGTGCTCACAGAATTCATCAGTGGATGCTTACTGTGTGCTTCCCTTTGTGGAGGGTTCACAGGAGAGAGTCCTCCACTCAAAGGATATTTAGGCCAGGTGCAGTGGCTGATGCCTGTAATCCCAGCACTTTGGGAGGCCAAGGTGGGTAAATCACTTGAGGTCAGGAGTTTGAGACCAGCCTGGTCAACATGGTGAAACCTTGTCTCAACCAAAAAATACAAAAATTAGCTGGGCATAGTGGTGCACACCTGTAGTCCCAGCTACTCGGGAGGCTGAGTTGGGAGAATTACTGAACCCAGGAGGTAGAGGTCGCAGTGAGCCAAAATCGCACCATTGCACTCCAGTCTGGGTGACAGAGTAAGACCCTTTCTGGGAAAAAAAAAAAAAGGAAAAAAAAGGATATATTTGGAAAAGATGTCTAAGATGTGATTGTGTTAATGTCACAGGAAGTGGTACCAAAGGAGTCAAGGGAAGAGGACCACATTCACCCAAATTGTGTCAGGAAGTCTTTAGGAAAGTGGCAAGAGTTGAGCCTTCAAAGATGCTTGGGACCTAAGTGTTTTCAGAGAAGAATGGAGCTATTCTATTTATTAATATTAATAATATATTTGTGATTGGTAATTGATGATAATCTTTGTGTTTCAGGGATGGAGATGCTTACCGTCTTTATAACCTGGATGTCTATGGATACCAAATATATGATAAAATGGGCATTTATGGTTCAGTACCTTATCTCCTGGCTCACAAACTGGGCAGAACTATAGGTATTTTCTGGCTGAATGCCTCAGAAACACTGGTGGAGATCAATACAGAGCCTGCAGTAGAGGTGAGCTGCTGAGCATAGCTACATGCCATACTTAAAGAAGAAACAAAACCACTGCAGTGGAGTCAAAGGTCTTATCTTTGTACTGGCACTTCTCTGCCACCAAAAGCTTTACAGTGTAGTCCATGAATATCAGTAGTATCTACTAAAGAAACAGACTGTTACTTACGTATGTCTGGATGTTGCAGGTTAAAGGGAAATTTCTCAAATTTTTATTCCATTCTTTTTCCAGTACACACTGACCCAGATGGGTCCAGTTGCTGCTAAACGAAAGGTCAGATCTCGAACTCATGTGCACTGGATGTCAGAAAGTGGAATCATTGATGTTTTTCTGCTGACAGGACCTACACCTTCTGATGTCTTCAGACAGTACTCACACCTTACAGGTATTTGCATGGAGAAGTGCCAGTTTCTTGTTCTGTTATGTATCCTGTGTCCCATGTATCATCGTTGTAAGTTAATATTTGTTGCACACTATGTGGAATTTATAAACATCTTACCCAAGTATTTTAATTAGCAAGCATTCCTGTTCCCACCCTCATCCCATTCAGTTTAGTAAAACATTGCACTGGATCTAGAATGTTTTACTGTCTAATTCCTAATACTTGCCATCTGCTTTCCTGGGAGCTTTTAGCCCCTGGGCTAGCTCTACCTTTATCTCAGATGACCAATATCCCAACTTCAACTTTTCTATGTTTTTTTTCTGCATTAAAATATGCAACTGTCAGGCTGGGGTCAGTTGATAGTAAAATGGCCGAGACTTGATAGCCTCCCCCATACACACACACACACACACACAATATATATATATATATATATATATGCATGCAACTGGCTTTAGCATCAGAACATTTTATCTTTAAAAAAATGCAAGCTTTTCTCTAAGATCAGAAACAAGGCAAGGCATTGCATTTTCCCTACTATAATTCAATATTGTACTGGAATTTCTAGCCATAGAAATTAGGTAAGAAAAAGAAATAAAAGACATCCAGATTGGAAAAGAATACATAAGATTATAGGAGATGATATGATCCTATATATAGAAAATCCCAAAGAATCCACACTAGAGGCAATAAATCCAGCAAAATTACAGGGTACAAGATTAATGTATTAATCTGTTCTCACACTGCTATGAAGAAATACTGGAAACTGGGTAATTTATAAAGAAAATAAGTTTAATTGACTCATGGTTCTGTAGGCTGTACAGGAAGCATGCTGGGGAGGCCTCAGGAAACGTAACAATTATGGTGGAAGGTGAAGGGGAAGCAACCACATCTTACCTGGCTGGAGCAGGAGGAAGAGAGAGAGGGAGGAGGTGCCACACACTTTTAAACAACCAGATCTTGTGAGAAATCACTATCACAAGAACAGCTAGGGAGGAAATCTACTCCCATGATCCAGTCGCCCCCTACCAGGCCCGTCTTCCAACATTGTGGATTACAATTTGACATGAGATTCGGATAGGACACAAATCCAAACTGTATCAATCAATAACGAAAAAAAAGTTAGTTTTGTTTCTATATACCCACAATGAACAATCCAAAAGAAATTAAGAAAACAATTCCATTTAAGACAAAAAAAAAGGAAAAAAACGAAAGCAATTCCATTTATAATATACAAAATATAAAATACCTAGGAACACACTTAGCGAAGGAGGTAAAAGACCTGTACACTGAAAACTATAAAACATTCCTGAAAGAAATTAAAGAAAGCCTAAATAAATGGAAAGACATCCCATGTTCATAGGTTGGAAGACAATGTTAAGATGGCAATAAAACAGAAAGTGACTTATAGATTCACTACAATCCGTATCAAAATTCCAGTGGCTTCTTTTGCAGAAATGAAAAAGCTGATCTTTCATAGAATTGCAAAGAGACCTGAATAGCCAAAACAATCTTAAAAAAGAGAAACAAAGTTGGGAAAATTATACTTCTGATAGGCTTTGGCTGTATCCCCATCCAAATCTCATCATGAATTCCCACATGTTGTAGGAGAGACCTGGTGGGAGGTAATTGAATCATGGGGCAGGTCTTTCTCATACTGTTCTCATGATAGTGAATAAGTCTCATGAGATCTGTCTTTGCCTGCCGCCATTCACGTAAGATGTAACTTGTTCCTCCTTGCCTTCAGCCATGATCATGAGGCCTTCCCAACCACATGGAACTGTAAGTTCAATTAAACTTCTTCCTTTTGTAAATTGCCCAGTCTCAGGTATGTCTTAAGCAGTGTGAAAATGGACTAATACAACTTTTCAATTTCAAACTTACTTCAAAGATATGGCAATCAAAAGAACATGCTACTGGCCAGGCACGGTGGCTCATGCCTATAATCCCAGCACTTTGGGAGGCCAAGGCGGGTGGATCATGAAGTCAGGAGTTTGAGACCAGCCTGGTCAACATAGTGAAACCCCATCTCTACTAAAAATTAGCTGGGCATGGCGGCACGCGCCTGTAGTCTCAGCTACTCAGGAGGCTGAGGCTGGAGAATTGCTTGATCCCAGGAGACAGAGGTTGCAGTGAGCCGAGATCACACCAGTGCACTCTAGCCTGGGCAACAAGAATGAAACTCCATCTCAAAAAAAAAAAAAAAAGAATTGGGAATCTAGAAATAAACCTATACATTTATGGCCACCCAAAACACTGGGAGTACAGGCACAAGGCACAGTGCTGTGTCCATGTCACCATTATAATTTCAGTAAAGGTTCATGACCATTCCATGAAGAAGAAATAGTCTCTTGAACATATGGTGTGAGATAGTTGGATATCTACTTTCAAAAGAATGAAGTTGGACTCCCATATTCAAAAATATGTTATAGGCTCAAGCCTGTAATCCCAGCACTTTGGGAGGCCGAGGCGGGTGGATCACGAGGTCAAGAGATCGAGACCATCCTGGTCAACACGGTGAAACCCCGTCTCTACTAAAAATACAAAAAA